ATATAAGAAGGCTGCTTTGGAAGCCAAACCTTTCCGGCTTCTTTTGCGGCGAGTATGCAAGTATAAAAGTACGCAAGTCGCAAGGTCGCGACGTCGCAAAAGTCAGGCGTGGAGTCGAATGGGGATGCGAGGTTTGATTTTGGTCTTTTTGGAGATGTTGATTGTTTGTTTGCTGATTTGCTGGACTCGACTGACTGGCTGGATCGAATTACAAAATACGACTTGACTCAAACGCTACCATCGGACTGAAAAGTTGTACTTTATTTTTTGTTGTTCACGTATGAGGATTTGAAATCTTTTATACTCTTCACATCACACTGCTTCTACATAGTAGTCTCATCGGTACTTGCACTGAGGGATTTAGGGAGATATCGATATCGATACCAGAGGAAGATGGAGATGAAAAAACCCAATCCGGCCCATCCCATCCATGCATCCAACACCCCTCCAACCTGCACGAGCACTTCGCACAGATCCATCCATCCAAACACGCAAACATCCCCCACCCCCCTACGCCCCCCGCCCAACCCTCGACCCAGGCGTCCACTCCCCACCCCCCATTACCCCAAACCCACGCCCAGCCCCAACCCGCCCCGGCGTCTTCCCCCCCACATTCTCCAGCAGCCGTTGAGCAGCAGGCGTCAAGTCCGCCTTGACCTTGCGAGCAGGCGTGAGCGGCGCAGCGTGTAAGCGTGAGCGAGCGGGCGTAGGAGCAGAAGGAAACCGAGGGGTATGAGAGGGAAAGATGCCAAGGGAAGAAGTGGGTGGGTTGATCTTTTTATTTGCGACTTGTGCGCGATTCGCAGAAATCTTGTCCACCATTTTCAGGTGGAGTTTTTCGCGCGACGAGGCGGCGGGGAGGGTGAAGGGTGTGGCTTTTGAGTTGCTGTCGACGCCGAATTTCTCGAGGAGGTTGGTGGGTGCCGAGTCGGAGTCGGAGTCTGGGTCTGGCTCGGGCTCGGGCGGTTGTGCGTCGACAAAGGCGTAGCCGTTGACTCTGGGGGTTTCGGAGCCCGTGTAGCCGGCTTCGCTGGCATGGAGGCGGGGATGTCCGGCCACGGCGTCGCGGATGGCGGATAGGGTTGGGCTCGTTGGTCTCGTGGGCTCTGCTTCTGGGGCGGGGAGGCGGGTATTGTTGTAGAGGACTGCTTTTGGGGGTGCGAGGGAAGCGTCCTCTGCTCGTTGTGCGCGAGTGGGAGCCCATTGCTCGACGCCGTCGGGATTGAACATGAGGCTGTTGAAGGCCGTGTGTTTGTGGAAGGTGGGAGCTGCGGGTCGGAGGTCGAGGTCTTGACTCGGGCGGTTTACAATCGCAACATCTTGTGATTTCGTAGTCGCAGCGTGGGCCTCGAGCACTCGTTGTTGCGCCATGCGCTGCTTGCTGGCATACATGTTGCCATCGTGCATCCACCTTGTCTTGTTGAATTTGGCTTGATTCTGTTTGTCGATGATCTGGCTGAAGCTCTCCTGGTCCTCGCTGATGTATTTCGCCTGGAAAGCCCCAAGGCTCAAATCCAGGTCTCGGCGATCCAGCTTGCCCAACCCCTCATCACCGTCTGACGTGGCGGCTCCTGCTTCAACAGCGGCGACGGGAGTATCCGGCCCCCAGACACTGGGCGTCCTCTCTGGAGCGCCACCTGGACGGTCCAGCCGTGTACGCGCTGCTACCGTAGACTTTCCGCGTGGGTGAGGCGTCATGACCTGGGTGAGCTTGTTGGCAGCTTCGCGGATCCATGATTTGTCTTTGCTCTCGATGGCATTCAGGTAGTCGCGCTGCGCATCGGCCTCTGCAAGCCCGGGGAAGAAGTCGCGGCGAATAATGTGCGATACAGCTGACGTATATGTGTCTTCGTCCAGCACCACCGACGGGCGCTTGATGCGTTTCGGCGCGGGCGGTGGTGCCATGAGTGCGCTCGACGTGCTGCGCTTCCCCAGCGCAGTTGACTGCGACGCCATGGCAGGCTGAGGAGTATGTGACCGCGTCGCAAGACCAGATGGTTGGAATCCGAGATGGTAGTTTACTTGGGCGATTTATTCAATGGGCTGAAAATGTCGTTCCTGGTTGTGAATTCAAGATGGTGGGAGGAGGATGGTGTTTTGGTAGTGGTAGTCACATTGTTTGGCTCGTGCTCTTCTGCCGAGCGGCAGGTGACTTCACCGCCTTCAGCCCTACGAACTGTACCCTGATACGTCATCCGGCCCTGCATGTCATGGGCGGCTCATGACCTGCCACCCCTTGCCCTATCACACGAAGATTGAGATTGAAAGCCATGACTGCATCAGCCAGATCACGCAAACGGGTACATTGGCACGTTTTGTCAGATGACTACAGACCCGCAAATGCTCCGTGTCATTTTGTTCGGCGTGCCAGAATGAAATACCAAGGGCACATGTTGCTGAACAGTCCCGGTGCTCGTACTATGCTCTCGAAGCAGATCCTACTACAAAGACACTAATAGAAAGATTCAACCATGGCATCCTTGTGCGTCGTATTGATATTGCTGGGTCCATTGCCTTCGCCTAGCCTGAAGACAGACTCGACGACTGACAACTCTGTGGCTGTGGTATCGAGACCTGTAGTCCATGTCAGTACAGTGTTACTTTTTTCCACAAGAGCAAACCAGCCTACCTGTAACCGCCATCCAATCATTAACAACCATACCCGCACCCACCACGGCACTGCCACGATTCACACTGCCCGCAACGAGGGGTACCTGCAGCAGACTAGAAAGCTCGTCCTGGTCCTGAATCGACGTCTTTGGGTGGACAATGCCGCCTTGATTGCTCAATGCCATGTATGATCCAGTGAGGACGTTGTCTGCAATGGTCTGCCTAAACACCTCGACACCGAGCACATCTGCTATTATCTCCTCTGTTTCCCGCTCAATGTCTGGATGTACTAGAGCAACATGGTCGTTACAACATATGACGTTGCCCAACGCTGATAACCGCTCTTCTATCCGCTGAATCTTGACGCTGTCTGGTATGGAGTTTCGCAAATGTTGGAGCTCTTGGTCGGTCGTGGTGGTGGGGACAAGAAGTCCTTTCTTGTTACCAGCCGTGAGGCGGCCGACGATCCGGGTGCCTGCTATGGTAGCATGGCAGATTGGTATGACGTCTTGGAGTTCGGCTTCGAAGACACTGTAACAGACACTCTTAGAACATGCTCCTACGACTGCGCACCCCGGACGAAGCGCTGCTGCCTACTGCGCTGCGCGGGGGCGCACAACAACCGTCAAAAGTATGAGCGTACCTGTAAAAGTTCTCAGATGCGCCGACTGCGACAATTGCATACGCATTGGTAAGGGTAGAGAAGACCCCGACCCTAGATGGTAGATTCATTAGCCCAAGCCGAGAAGCTCAAACATCTCCACCGCACTTACTCGTTGGAGTTTTCGAATTGGGCGCGAACAGCCATGATTACAGGCTCGAGTTTGCTTGTAGGAGTAGTATGATTTGCGTGCACTGGCTATCTGTAGGATCCGTCGATATATCGTAACTTGTATGTTGTGTGTACGCGCAGTATCGTGAGCAACGTCGTGGTTGTTGTGCTTCTTATTGTAGTTTTTTTCCGACTCGAGCAAAAACTCGAGAGCGACGCAACGGTTTAGTAGAAAGTCGACATCATTTCGCCCCGCTACCTGATCGAGCCTAGCCGCTTGGCAATCTTCGACTCATCGTGAGTTTGATCGTCGCACCCTTGCACAGATGGTAAAATCACAGCCACAGCATGTTGCATCCGCCACCACTGATACTATTCTGTGCGACTGTTCATCATAGCCATTATGATTGCGAGTGAAGTGAGTCACTTTTGTCGAAATCTTGGTGCTGCATGTATCGTATGGATAGCTGTCAGCATTTTCATGCTCCCCGTTCATCTCTTCTCAGGCGCATCACCGTGCCAGCCTGGTAAAGTGTAAGGAACCTTCTTCAACTGGTGCCTCGACACCCGTGCGTGCTTCAGTTGCAGACCATCTACACAGTAGTCCTTGAGCGGATATCGCAAATGCGAAGTAGCATGTCATTCGTCTCATCTCTCCTCTCAGCCCCATAACGGACTACGCGTGATTAGAACCACAATCATTATACCCATGTCTCTCTTACACGCACCACATCACTTCGTTTCAGTCTTCTCCATATTGTGAAGAAAATTTTGGCGCTCATCCGTGCCAATAACTGTGATTAAATTACCAGAACAATGCTTCCGACAAGCCCGCCTACGGCAGAGACTGTGCACACTCGACTATTCGAAACTACGCGACCGAATGCAGCTGCTCAAAAAGTAACAACGCCCGCTAAGCTATGCCAGCCGCTACCAAAGTCATAACCAGATTTGGCTGAAAAGTGTGTGTAGAGATATGTACAACAGCGGGAATTCCACTTTTCACCAAAAACCAAAACCAACCGACGTGGAAACAATGCCCCATCGTTGGACTCGGCCCGCCAAAGCAAACATAAACATAATCGTAAATACCAAACATGATGGTGTCGTGACATGGTTCATTATGGAGGGAGATCGTCGTGCAGCGCAGCCGTCGATATGCAAGAAATAGGGTCCCAGGATTCAAAGGACCGAGAGTATATGTACGAAAGTCAGGGACTGCGTTCCGTGCTTTTTATCGGGGAGAGAGGGGGGAGGTGTCGAGTCCTTGTCGTCTAGGATTTCCTTGCCACAAGGACTGCGAGAACGATCTAAGGGCTGTTAGCGTTCGCTGGAGGAACCCAGTGGGTAGACTTACTATCACCACTATAAGCACCGTGCCAATGACGGACATGATGCGATTCAGATTGCGCCACCAAACTGCCTTCTGGAAGGCTTTGTCGTCTGCAGGTCCGAATTGGTAGCTGAAATGCTGGTCCATATCAGCCTGACTAGGAGTGGGGGCCACGGTCGGATCAGGGGGTAGGGGCAAGCACGACGCGAGCATCCAAGCTATAGTACACAAGTTAGCCCCAGAATCGACGTACAGACATCAACGATGTAGTCTGACTTACACAGAGGAAAGATGAACCCCAGACAGAAAAAAAGAATCTGTCTGTTCTGGCGGCCAAAGAGCGTAGAGCCAAGGTCATCATCCAAAGATGGCGCTGTCCAGATCCCGTAACGCGAATGTCCTCTCAGGTCGGGTCTCAGGCGCGGTGTCGAATATCCACTCAAAGGGTGCATGGTGGGCCCGACTACATAGAGGTTTCCGTCCACATGTTGAATCTCGTCAGACAACGACATAGTATCTGTTTGGGAACCGCGATGCCTCGGTCGGTTTCGTGGACGGTAGATGTTCACGGGAAAGTTGGCCTCTGATGGAGTGTTCGAGCGGACGGCTAATCAGCCTGAGGACACCCACTG